TATATATATATATATATATATATATATATATAGGAGAATGAAACTCATGACAATATCCTGACATTAAAAACACATTATGACTGCAATTCTATATGAATAAAATGTGGTAATTATAACTGCAGATTTTAAAAGTTACATCTAGTATTAAAGTTTTTCAAGATACTATTATCCAAAGAGCAAGTGTAATCAATTGAGCATAAAAGCATTCATCTTGATGTCATGTAAAATTAACAAATTAAAGAAAAAAAGAGAAAGATTGGATCATTTACAGATATAATATGAGTTACAATAGACTTCCATTAATTTTTTTAACTGAGCTAGTTAAAACCTTTGTGTAAAAAAAGTGAGGACTTACTCCTTTAACACCTCGAAGGTCTCCTTTGAGCAGACTGTCTACTGGAAACATAATGATGTTGTTCAAGTTTTGCATCTAAAAGAAAATAAAAAACAACAATCACAATTTGAAATACTTGTATATATATATATATATATATATGTAGAAGAGAGTCACTAGTATTTTAAAAGTATCTTCACCCAGATATATCTTTGATTTCATGTTACAGATGGAAGGCAAAGCTGATAAACAAAATTATAATGTAATGACCAAACTTGGCAAACTAACTACTTCTATTCCCTGAATACATGAAGAATCTTACCAGAATCTTCATTAACTGTGAAAGCTCTTTGGTCACAATGGAGAAGTTTATAAATGCTGCACCTGTGTATAAATGAAAAATAAATTACTAAAACTATATATACATTATTCATAATCAGAAAATCCACACAATAAAGAAATTTCAGTATCTTCTAGCAATAATAAATAATCCAGGATATTTCAATGAACCAAAAAAGACAATCATATAACTTCAGTTCATCTTACTCTATGTTCAAATTATTATATTTCATTTAATACAATTATCATTTTGCACAGAAAAATCCATCATTGCTATAAAAAAATAAAAAATAGAGAGCAAAAGATTAACCTTATAAATTATTTTTTTTGTATTAACCAGAATAAATTTATATCCTATAAAAAACAGAAATGTTCAACAAGAAATAATATAATGTGTCTAGTAGTGTACATCTCACAAATATATTTTCAGTTTTTACAATATAAGGCATCCAAATATAAGATTATAAGAATACACATAACTAAACAAAATACAAAATCTTCGATGAATAAAACTTTCTAGCATGAGATAAAAAAATCTGAAAAACTCAAATATTTCTTTTTGAACAAGTAATGAAAAAAACAAGTTCTGAATCATTCTTTCACTTACCTATATCATGTTCCTGGTCTTTAATGTTTGCATTGGCTCCTAGTCGCTCAAGTGCTTTTGACAGATAGATTTCATTGTCTACGTGAGCTGTATTAATAATTTTTATTTATTATCTTCCAGTCAAGTCAGTGGGACAAAAAATATTTTTCTACATATAGTGAGAAATGGTTGTTTCAAGCCATTTCTACCAACTTTACAGATTTATAGATTTTCCCATAGAGAGCTATTATTATAATCTATAAAAATCAAAAAATTGCACAGTTTAATTATTCCTGCATTATATAAAAATAATTGAACCTTTTTATTACATATATATAATCCTTTTTTTAATGTAATGCTGAAACATGAACAAATTAGTCTGAGATACGTTAATTTAGACATTTGACATGTATTTACAATAAATCAGATGTGGTATTATGTTTGCCAATTTTGTGTAAAACAAAAAAAAAGAAAAAAAACAACTGTGTACAATTCACCAAGTAAACTTAAAAAATAAAGTTAACCTAATCTGTTAAAAACTTTTGTGTTGTTATAATCAAAAAGTACTACAAATTCAGTTAATATAACTGTAATGCCTCAACTCGTGTTTTGCTGTTTTGGCAGCTTCAGAGCATTCTGAATGTGCTACCTACTCTGGAAAGACACCACCCTCATTTCATCTCCAAATTTGACCATTTGTTGATTTGGTATAAATGTGTGCCAATATTACCTGAAGATTCTGACAGACTGACAAGAGTTCTTCAAATGCTGAAAACCAGATAAACATAAAAACAAGTTGGCAGCTCATTTTGATGCATCCAGATCCATGGTGAAAAGGTTATGTACATGCAATCAGACAAGTGATATGTACATCAGAAGCCCTAAACAAGGTCAATTACTACATACAATGACCATTATCTATACAATATGTATGTCTATCGGGAATAACCAGTCTACTGCACACTGGCTCAAAATGAACTCTAGAACATTAACTGGAATGATTATCAGTAACTTCATGAATCTGGCTTGAAGTTGCGAGAAATTCTTCAGTCTCACAGTTGAAGAACAGTGCCACACAGCTCACTGGGCTCTTATCAATATTAACAGAATTGCTAGTAATTAAAATGGGCACCTATACACTTTAACAAAGCACTGGACCCAGTTCTTTGGGCTTTCAAAGGTGCAACTGAGCCAGACTTTATCCAGATGCTAAATAATATCAAATGTTAGACTTCATGGACTGGCCATCAAGAAATCTTCATCCAAGTCCAGCAAAACACTTTTGGCACCTCTCTGGACATTGTATCTCTGATATCACTAAGGGATTTCACTGACAAGGAATGTGAAAGGATTGCTTGTCACATCATCTGCCGACTAATCAGAAATACACCCACAAATGCACAGATTTTATCTAAAACAGAGGATGAGGGCATACTTATCACTGTATATTTACCTTTGCCACAGGTGACTTTCTAAAACAAGTTGATAAATTTAACACTAACTACTTTGAATTTCAAAGTACTTGTGTTCCATGCATTGTAGCCACTAACGCATTGTCAATGAATTAATTAACTGTGCTCAATGACTGAAGTATTTTGAATTTCAGCACTGTTGTGCAACTGGTTGAAGAATACAATGTACCTATAAAATCTTGCCCCCTTTTTTGTCTCTTATACTGAATAAATTATTAAAAAAGAGAGAGAAAATTATCCACTTTAAACAATTAAAACAAAAGTTGTATCTTGATAGTTATGTTTTATTATTGATTTATATTATTTTGAAAGTCAAACTAGGTAAAGATGTGTTCAATTCCAGACAATGATATCAATAATGACTTACACTGACTTACAAAAAAAATAACCTGACACCTAATGAGGATATTTCTTTTATTTTACTATTGATTTATATTATTTTGCAAGTCAAACTAGGTAAAGACATGTTCAATTCCAGACAGTGATATCAATAATGACTTACACTGACTTACAAAAATATAATCTGAAACTAAAAGATATTCTATAATAGATATAATAGATATCCCAAACTAAGGATATTCCTTTGAAACCCAAAGGTGCAAAAACTATGTAAATACAGAGTTGTATGAAAAAATAACAATCGGGAAAATAATTGCTTACAACATTAATTTCTGTAGTCCTCATCTGCTTCCATTTTTTCTTTTCCATTATTCTTGTATTTTAAATTTAATATATAAAAGTTTACACTAAATTTGAAAAACCTTTATAATTAGAGGGTAAATATTGTAATGTGCTTCATAGTACAAAAATAGTTGTTTGAAAAGGCAATAATAAGGAAAATAACTGTCAAAAACTTTCATCTCTATAGTCTCCACATGCTTGTACTATTTCTTTTTTAATTATTCTCAGATTCTAAATTCAATAAATAAAGATCACACTGCATTTGAAAAACCTTTCTCCTGAAAGGACAAATATTGTAATGTGCTTCATAATAAAAACAAAACAAAACGTATTATTGAGATTTACTCAAGTAAAACAAAGTAAAACATTTGTTTATAAGAATTTCTGCAAAAAAATGTTGAAAATGAGCTGTCAGGTAGGGTAAAACTGCATTTGAGAAACACTAAAAGTTACACATTTTACAACAGTTATAAATTTTTCTGTGTGTAAGTAAAGGTATATAGATGGCATTTAATATAAAAGAATATTTATAAAATTTTGTTGGTGCATAATAATTATCAATATCTGCCTTACCATTCCCACTATTATATATTGCCTTGACAGCCTTTTTCATCTTTGTCAAACCATCCCGATCAAAGTCCAATGTCTATAAAAGAAAATTAGGTATTCAATATGCAATAAAACCAAGGTTTGAAATATCAAAATCTTTATATTAAAGGTCTATCATTTCAGGGTGAAATATTTCGATTTGTTCAAATGTACCTAAAGATTGAAATGAATATCAAACGTGTCTTATTTATTGGTTTTGCAACAAAATGGAAATATCTTAACATTTTATATCTGCACAATGTTATGGTAAGCAACAAAAATAAATTCACATATAAGTAGCTATTCCAAGACACATAACTTAAATACACATATTGCATTTTTCAGAAACCAAGATGCATTTCTTTCAAAATTTAAGTCATACCTAACAATTCAAATGGCTATCCTCCTCATTATTTTAATAGCATTCATAAATTGGTATTAAAATTACATATTTTAAATGTTATCATATCTATAAATATACAGAGACAATGTACCTAATAATATTGTGGGGGTACCTAATTTCATAGTCACCCTTCCATTCTAAACTTCCCACATTGTAATCTGTACCTTAGGTTCATCCGTCTTTAAGTGTGAAACTTTTTGATTCTGCCTTTTTTTTTGTGGAAAATTACTTCACACTCATACAAGCATGCATACATATTTTGATGTATCACATTTTGCTACAATCCATAACTTAGATATTCTGTATGTAAGTTAAAAACTGTTGAAGATGAGAATATTTTGGCATTGTGTACAAAAGCCTACATCAAATTTATCCATAACTATACAAGGTGTCCGAAAAGTCTGAAACCAGAGGTGATTTGCAGCTTTTCTTAATTTTGAATACCTGACTGATTATGGGGCTGTCAAAGAATGAGAAGGTCAAGTTATTCCAGCTGTTAATCCAAACTTGTTTCAAATTACAAGGACAGCGTGTGGAACACATTCTGTAAAATTCGTTAAAGTGCTTATGGTTTCAGACTTTTCAGAGACTATGTATACTAAGAATTAATTTTTCACAAAAAATCATACAAAAACTTGTAGACACTTTAAGTACATAAAATCATAAGATGGTTTTGAAGAATAACAGTGTAACTTATAAAGAAAAATGCATTCAACACTCTCACAAATAAGCAATTTGTAATTTTTTTGCATAATAAAGAAAATATAATTTTCAATTTCTGAGTATGTCGATTTTAAAATTGTTGAAATTATTTGTCTGGGTTCTATTTGTTATATTTAAAAAACAAAAAAAGTGACATTATTTAAGTATTTTGTGACCTCAAAAGAAATTTTAAAAGCTATTCAACTTCTATTTTAAAATATACAAGTTGAGAACAAATTATTCACAAAATATGACAATATAAGCACGAGGAAAAAAAATTACATTATTCTTTGTTATTTCCATCAGGATGAGGAAACATTCATGATCAAACGTAGACAAAAACAATCACAAGTTGAAAATTCCCACCTATATAAAGCACATGTGCAAACAGATGTATTAACCATGCTGAACCTATCAATGTACTAGATCCCAAATTATACAACCTATAAAATGTAAAGTTAAACATGAAAGAACATTCACAATCATAAATACTATGAGCTCTATGTTATTACAAAAATGCTTGAATTATATGGTCAAGTTAATTTGCTTCATGAGTGAAGTAAAAGTTAATCATTTATCAGCTTTTCACATTGAATAATGATTGAAGATGCAACAAATATTTGAGTTTCAACTATATTACTTGAAATCCCTGGGGTCCATATTAATCATATAACTATATCAAATTTATCTTTGTATGTACATGTATATAAAAATGTGAACAATTCAAATTGGATAGCTTTATGGTGTATTAGTGTTGTATTTGCATATACAATATCTTTTAAAGATGTGCAACTTTTCATAAATGTGTGCATATCTTACTGTAAATGCCTTTTCACATATAAGATGCTATAAAATACTCTGCTATAATATTGTGGCATTCAGAAAAAATCTAAATATCTATCTATACAGCTGTTCTTTGGAAGAGTGCATATACAGTAATAATATTTAGTAATTACAAACTTATTTTGGTTTTCACACACACAGATAAATATATATATATTGCTTTGACACTTAACAGGTACTACACAGTTGTAAAGAGCAAACAACATTTGCCTACAGACTGGTAAATGTGTGTAACATTACCATAAATGCTTACTAAGATTCAACAGACACACATCACTGACATTAGCTGTGTCCAACTACGGAATGTAATAACCATGGAAACTTTCCTATAATTGTGAATTACAAAATATGTTTAAAATGTATATTTAATACAATGTATGTATTCCAATATAGATTGGAACTCGTAATCAGGAAGGAATTAAACAAGCAACACATCTTAGCAAACTAAGTTTATTTACAGATGCACTGTATTCTTCAGCCTGGTTCAGAAACAGCAGCACTGTATATTATAAGGATAGCAATAACATCTTACTCAGAAACAGACCTCCAAGCTTCACCTGACACAATTATTCATTTGAATATGTTAGCTATAAATAAGTAATAAACAAGTTATTTTATCAGCTGAATAGATAAGAATTGTACCTTTCAAGCCCAAATTTAATCTTTATTAAAGCTACGTAGCATGTTAGGCTAATCCTCACCTCCAAAAAATAATTAGAGAAATATATACAAGCTCCCATTTCTTTACTACTAAACTAAAAAAAACACCACTAATAACATTTAATTCATGTATATTAGTTTAAGGTAAAGATAATACAGAAGAAAAAAATGTGAGCATGAATAGAATAAATAGATAAAAAGTGCACACTAAGACTTGCACGTTAATCTTACAGTAATTCAACCACTCAACCATAAAAATTAATATAAATCTTTTTAAAAAACTCAATAAATGATTGCACATATATAACTATAGTCCCTCATTGTAAGGGGTGTACTTAAAAAACAAAATAAGATAAAGTATCACTTCTTTTGGTATTTGGGAGAGGTGGTGCAAGAAATATGTACTTTCTAGCTAAAAAAACTAAAAATTTTGATAAATGTGTTTTAATTATCATATTATTCAATTTGATGCAAAAACAAAAGACAAAGATATCAATGAACTTGTAAACAACAACTTAAAATTCACAAAAAGTAGATACAAACTGCAGGTGAAATTTTATTTGAGCTAATGTTATTTGATATATATTGTTCTTACCAGTAACATCAATTCAAGCTATTTATTTCATATGAATGTAATAATCACATAAATATAATAAATATTAAGGACTTATCAACAAGCCTCCTAGAATTACAAGAAAAGAAAGTCTCATAATATCACTTTCTCTCTTGATTGGTCCACGAAAATATTGTAGATCATGTTAATTTTATAGAATGGACACAAATCATCTGGAAATTGTCATGTACAGATATGCATACCAAGATTTTCGAGTGAAGTCAATTAACCCTTTGGATGACACACTACTAATTTTTATTTAAAGTTGTATGTTAATTCTAATCAATGTAATTTATTATTACAAAGGGTTGAGTATGTTATATCAAAATGTTAAATCAAGTCACAAAGCAAGCACAGCCGATATGAAATCGTGGTAGAATGGCATGTATTAGAATTACATTTTGACATTGATTGACACAATGTAGGTAGCATGATACCATTAAAAAGTGATTACTTTTGGGAAGGGTAGTAACAGCTCTTCCCTATACAAAATATTCATAGTTTTTGATCATAAAGATTAGGCATTTAGAATTCTTAAGATGGTGATATTCATTGTATTTAATGGCATTGGAAAACAAAGGAATGTGGATAAACTTGTGAAACCAGTATAAGACCTGCAACAAGCTGTACCCAGCTGTCGTAAGCAAAGTGTGGTACCTTGTAAAAGTCAAAAATTCACAAACGTTAAAGTCAGTGGCAAAAAACATCCACATGTCCCAAGCAGCAGCAAGCAATGTAACTGAAAATGATCTCAATCAGGAAACAAGGCCAACAGGGTATGGGTTCACCAAAATAAGGCTTCTAATCATACCTGTCATTCTGTTATCACTTATCTCAAGCAGCTGGAGAATGATATGGGTATTCATGCTATTCAATAAAAAGGCATATCACAGAAGTGGCAGAATGCAGCATCAGTGGATTTTTGTGTGATTGGACTGTTGGAAAATGTGCTGTAAAACTGCTGTCCTCATACACTAGATGGGGTATGGATAACCACCAGGAAGGAATGGTGTGCTCCAACAATCAAGAACTAATGTATAATCACATCAACGTATTTATGATTTATCTTTGAATGTAGGATAAAAATTTTGATTCTCAACTAAGAATTTTATAGGCTTATATTAATGCCACCATTAAAACCCACAACTCTTTCTAGCTAACAAATAAATCACAACATTGAACAGAAACTATGCTGCAGGGTTATTATCAAGATGCACAGTCATCAAACAGAGCATGACTAGACATTGCAACATGGACTGTAACTACATGTTGAGGCTCCAAAATTATTTTAATGTAACGTACTCAATTTGTGTACATTATACAAAGTCTAAATCTTAAGGAGAGTAGCTCAGGCAAAAATGAGAAAAGGTTTCCCTGTAAAAATCCAATTCAAAATTGCATGAGTTTGATAATTCATAAAACCTCAGCAGAAAAATTATAGCAAATGCAATGTGTCCCTGAAGGATACTTCACTGCCAACGACTTCAAGGCAGCTATATAACTGAATGATATAATTATGTAAGAGAAGCGATGAAGTCTTCGTTATCCTACATAAACACATTACTGAACTTGTGCGAAATAAATGGTAATCTGTGGCTTTAGAGCATTTGATTCTAAACACTCAGTTAAAAAAGAAAGATGTATTCGATCAATTTTAGAACAGTAACATGCACAAATAAAAAAAGTGAAAGCCATATACAACATTGAGAGGTTTGGCATTCTGCCAAGCCTGGTGATTTCTTTTAAACACGTTTCTACAAGAAGGATAAAAAAGAGCATACAGAAAACACGCATTCTTCGTACATGTTCACACACTATGTAATACGTACCATAGTAG